CCGGCTCTCGGGCCCACTACGCAGAGTTCCTTGCTAGCAAGAAGAGCGACCAGTCGTCTCTGCAGCGATGGAAGTCGCCCTACACCCTCTCGTACCCGCGGCAGATCCTGCTGTGCATGTGGCGTTCCCTTGCGCTGATCAAGGCAGCGCCGCAGATGACGGTGACAATGCTTGTCGTCAACCTCTTCCAGACCGTCATTGTCGCTAGCCTCTTCTATCGGCTGTCTGAAACGGCCGAGTCCATGAAGTCCCGCAGTACGCTGCTGTTCACGGCCGCGCTGGTCAACGCCTTCATCTGCATACTGGAGGTGGCGGCCTTGTTCGCCAAGCGGGCCATCGTCGAGAAACATGTTCGCTACGCCCTCTATCACGCCTCTGCCGAGGCTATCGCTGACCTAGCCATGAGTTTGCCGTTCAAGCTGATTAACTCCATCATCGTCAACACCGTCTTCTACTGGATGTGCAACATGCGGGCGGGAGGCGGCCCTTTTGTCTTCTTCGTGCTCGTCCAGTTCGCCATGACGCTCGCTTTGAGCCTGTTCTTCCGCCTCGTGGCCTCAGCGGCCAAGAGCCAAGCGACAGCTATGGCCCCAGCGTCGACAGTGCTGCTCACGCTGGCCTTGTACACGGGCTTCGGCGTACCGCCCGCATACTACAAGACTTATGCTGCATGGATCGCCAAGGTCAACCCCGTCGCGTATGGGTTCGAGGCCCTCATGATCAACGAGTTTGGCAACGGTCGCAGGTTCCCTTGCACGACCTTTGTTCCGTCTGGCCCGGCCTATAACGCGAGTATGGCGATGCCGCAGACGCGCGCGTGTGCTGTGCAAGGGGCTGTCGCGGGGGCTCCCTTCGTCGATGGGAGCGCCTACATCGCTGGTGCCTTTGGGTATTTGGAAAGCCACCGATGGCGGAACGTCGGCATCATCTTTGCCTTCGCGGCAATCTACCTCCTGTTGCATCTCGTTGTCACGGACCTGGTAAGCAGCGAAAAGAGCCACGGGGAGGTACTCGTTTTCCCCAGGGGAAAAGCCCCGACGAGGCGTGAAAACAGAGACGATGTGGAGGACCATGTCACCAAGGGAAGAGCAGAAACACCGAGCATGAACATGAACACTTCCATAGCTTCTCCCTTGCCCTCCAAGCCTGCTGCGCCTGTCTTGAAGAAGAAGAAGAACGGTAGTGAGCATTGGAAGAGTGAGATTGCGGACATGTACACTGGCGGAGAGGATTTTCCAATGACGACTCTGGAAAGTGAAAAAGTGAACAATATTACTGTCAGCACAGACTCTCCTCCTCCCCCCACCACCAAGTCCTGGAACTGGCCGCAGGACCACGGCAGGCCGGATGATCATGATAAAGACCATGGCGGGCTGGGGATCGACCGCCAAACGGCCATTTTCCACTGGAGCAACGTCTGTTACGATGTTAAGGTCAAGAAGAAGGAGACGAAGCGCATCCTGGACTGCGTGGACGGGTGGTGTGAGCCGGGTACGCTCACTGCGCTCATGGGCGTCTCAGGCGCCGGCAAGACGACCCTTCTCGACGCCCTCGCCTCGCGCCTGTCAACCGGCGTCGTGACGGGCGAGATGCTCGTAGACGGAGCCCCGCGCGATGCCTCATTCCAGCAGAAAACTGGCTACGTCAAGCAGCAGGACCAGCACCTCGTCACGTCAACGGTGCGCGAGGCCCTCACCTTCAGCGCCGTCCTCCGCCAACCGGCCCGCTTCTCGCACGAGGAAAAGATTGCCTACGTCGACAAGGTCATCGACATTCTCGGCATGGGGCAGTATGCCGACGCTGTCGTTGGCGTGCCCGGCGAGGGTCTGAACGTGGAACAGCGCAAGAGACTGACCATTGGTGTCGAGCTAGCCGCCCGTCCTGCCCTGCTTCTGTTCCTAGATGAGCCCACCTCGGGCTTGGACTCGCAGACGAGCTTCTCTATATGCTCTCTGCTCGAGACCTTGAGACAAAATGGCCAGGCTATTCTGTGTACGATCCATCAGCCATCGGCGGTTGTAAGTTTACCCCCTACCCTCTCACTCTTACCCTGAATGTGTGCTATGTTGTTCTATAGTCCTCTCAAGCTATCAATCACACCGCTGACATCTCATGCGCGCAAACACCAGCTTTTTGAGCGCTTTGACAGGCTTCTTCTTCTTGCCCCCGGCGGACGAACCGTCTACTTCGGCCAGATCGGACGCAACGCAAACGTCCTTGTCGACTACTTTATTCGCAATGGCGGCCCTCGGCCCTTTAAGAATCAAAACCCGGCCGAGTACATTCTCGAACAAGTTCGCGCCGGCGGCAAACAGAAAAATGGCAACGACTGGCCCAACATCTGGCGGCATAGTCCCGAATACGCCGACGTCAAAGCCCACCTGGCGCGACTGAAGGAAGAAGCCGGCGGGAGAGCAAGGCGGAGGGGGACGATGGCAATGCAACAGCAGCAGGATCCGTCTTTCGCCGCTCCCTTCTCCCAACAGCTTTCCGAAGTGACGAGGCGTGTGGCTCTACACTACTGGCGCACCCCGAGTTATGTCTATGCAAAGATGCTGTTAACCTTTGGCGCCGCTCTCTTCATTGGCCTTTCGCTGCTCAACCTGCCCAACACGCAGGTCGGTATCACCATCCAGTTCATCGCCATCTTCATGTTCCTCACAACACACTTCAACCTGATGCTGCAGATCCTGCCTATCTTCGTTGCCCAGCGCACCCTCTACGAGGGCCGCGAGCAGCCTTCACGCACCTACTCATGGGCCGCCTTTATGACCGGCCAGATGGTCGTCGAGATGGTCTACAACACCCTCATGGCCCCGCCAGCATTCCTGGCATGGTACTATCTCGTCGGTCTCTACCGCAACGCCGCCGAGACCAACGACACGGCCTCGCGCGGTGGGTTAGCCTTTCTGTTCATGCTCGTCTTCTTCCTGCAGGCCAGCACCTTTGCGCACATGGTCGCCGCTGCCTTGGACCTTGCCGACCAGGCCGCCGGCATCGGCAACCTTCTTTTCGTCATGATGTTCATCTTCAACGGCATCCTCGCCACGCCGCCCAAGTTCTGGACATGGGTGTATCGCGTCAACCCAATCACCTATCTCGTCGAGGGCCTTCTAGGTGCGGGGCTCGCCAACGCCCGCATTCGCTGCGCTGACAACGAGTTCCTCCACATGAGCCCGCCGCCAGGCCAGACGTGCGGCCAGTACCTGCAGGCCTTTATCGCCCAAGCCGGCGGATACCTTGCCGACCCAGCCGCCGCCGCCGACTGCCGCTTCTGTCTGACAAGCAACACGAACGAGGTGCTGGCCGGTGTCCAGGTCAAGTTCGGCAACCGCTGGCGTGACTTGGGAATCCTTTCCATGTACGTCCTCTTCAACACCGTGGCGGCCTTCGCTCTGTACTGGACCCGTGTGCCGAAACCCAGGAGAGATGAAGGCGGTACATCATCCCCGCCACCATCATCATTGCCATCATCAAGCCAACAGGACGGCAACAGCAGCACGAATCCTCTTGCAAAGGCCCGGAATCGTCTTAAGGGTAAGGTCAAGGGTAAAGGAGGGCGAGACGGTGTTGCTGGCGGACCCTCGCCGCAACTTCCCTGGACCGAGGAAACACGGGTCGACACGTCTTTAAGCGGCTGCACCTTGCAAGATACGCAGGCCGTGAAAGTGCCTGGATCGGCTCGGTCGTCCACCAACGGCGGCATTCAGGGGCTCGGGAGAAGCAGCAAGAGGTACTGGGATGACGACGACGAAGACAATACTGACGACGTCCAAGCTCAGGACGATCACGTGGATAAATATGAGAAGCAGGAAAGTGGATCGGAGGATTTAGGTGAGGACGAAGAAAGGGGTCAGGACGTTTACTTTACCATGCTAAGGCCACCCACGACTCCCCAATACTGGATTTGATTGTAATTAGAGGATTAACATGACTGGTTTGTGTCAGAGTTCAAATTTAACTACAAGAATTCAATTTCACGTTCGTACTAAAGTGGATGTATTTCTATTGAATAATGGTTGTAATTTGCTCACGTAGTTGGGTTATTACATTCTACCCTCACACAGCAGCTACACGTCCTCCTTCAATCGACACTCAATCACATGCCCCAGGCCACGACAAATCCATACCTTGACAATCTTTAGGCCAGCTGCCTCTACCACATTGTTCAAGTCCTGGATAGTCCGCTGAACACCATTGGGGCTGACAGTTAGGATGAAGCCCGAGATCAGGCCCATGGCCTGGAACTCGCCGTAGTTCTTGAGTAACGGCGACGGCGCGTTTGGCAAAAGGGCGTCGCCACACGTCGGGTGCATAATATACTCGCCGATCAGTAAGCGCGATTTCCCAGGCGCCATGGCGTCCTTGATGTGCGTGAATATCTTGGTCAGATCCTCGTCCTGCCAGTCAACAATGACAGACCGGAACCAGTACACGTCGGCGCCCTTTACAGGGTTCTCATGGAAGAAGTCGTGTACGGTGAGCTTGACTGCGCCCGTGGCCAATGCCTGCGGGTCCGTCCTTTGCCAGTGTGCGGTCGCGTGCTCGATCATGCCGGGCTGGTCCTGAACGATACCGACGAAATCTTCCCGGCCACGGCGGTCAGGGAAGTTGGTCCGCAGGGCCTGGATCGAGCTTCCGAGCCCGCCACCGACGTCGACGACCACCGCACCATTTCGGAGGGTAGATTCCCAGGGGTAGCCGCCCACGTCAGTCAGTCCGTGCAGATACTCGCCCAGCGAGGCGAGCCACAAGTTGAAGCAGTCACGCCACTCAGGGTGCGCGTTAAGGTATTCGAACTGACCCAAGCCCTTGCCGATACTCCTGGCGAAGGCCGAGTCTCGCGATGCATAGCTGGCGCAGAGAGTTGGGTCCTTGAGGAGGCTAGGCAGCACGTCGGCCGTGGGGAAGAGAAAGGAGGCATAGCGTACCGAGTTAGCGAGGCGCTCGTCTGTCGCGAGGGCGGTCGACGCTCCGTCGTTAGCAAAGACGTTGAGGGTCGTCTCTGCGAAGATTTGGTGCGCACACAACGTCCGCATCACGAGCCCCAGCTTGCGCGTGTCAACAACGCCTGTCTCAGTGGCGAGGGCGTCAAGGTCCATAGGCCCGTTGGCCGCCAACAGCTTAGGGACCTCCCACTCAACAACCATGTGCAGCGCGCGAGACACAAAATAGTTGTGTGCCAGGTGGCCAAGGCGCCACTGAGGTGTGAAGACGGCTGCCTCAAGGGAGGCTGCCGCGGCGATGACGCGCTTGCGGGCATCCTCCGTCTTGGGGTCCATCGGAACGCGAATATCTCCACGGTTTGTCGCGGCTCCATTGCCAGGCTTGGACTGAGAGGAAGAAAAGGAGGAAGAGCAGGAGGATAGTTCAGCGATAAGATCGTTCGTTGAGGTGGTAAGTATGTCCAGGAGGGACCGGAGATGGGCGATTTGTTGTTCTGCAGTATTAGCCATGCTGAGGCTGATGAAAACAAACGTGTTCTCTTTTTTTTTTTTTCCTGTATTTTCCGCTTGGTTACCTGGGTAACGAATTGGAGGGTTAATTGTGTCGCAAGCTTGGAGAAAAAGAGCCTTTCTTTTTCTAGGACTCCCTGTCAACTGCTTCCTGATCTTAGCAAGGCTTGGGCCTTGACAAGGGAAACAAGCGGGCGGCCTGGTCCTGGGTGAGATGATTGTACAGGTGACTTTGAGGTTTAGACGTTCAACAAGATTTGTAATAGTGGAAACAAGGTGGTTCTTCACGTATTGTATTCAGCACTGCTTGCGCTCAGAGCTACTATAAAAGGGTTTGTAATAAAGTCGCCATGTATAGTGTAGATAGGAATAGTGTTTATCTCTAACTTGCCTGATTAGGAAGTCTGCTACAACACCTGAGAACCTCTGCTGTTTTAGGAACAGCTGTGTTCTAACCGTGCCCATTATGCCATAATAAGGTTGGCGTCGCCATTCTTTTAAGCATTAGAGGAAGGATGATGTTATGTTGCGTCTAATGCTTGTTAACAGAGCCCGGTATGTCATTACCTTAATTCAGCTATGAAACTCCACGCACCTCCTAGTAGCACGAACTCGGAGATCGTATTGCCTGGCATGCCACGGCTTGAGAGGCTTGCAATGGAGTCTGCTTGGGGTTCAAGGAAGAGGACGGCGTCTAGATCTAGAATATCAACGCGACAAAGCAGGTCGAAACACTGCGGGAAAATAAGACCATACACTAACCGCTAAGTCCGGATTACTCCGTCTTCTATAATGTACTGCTCTAAAGACTCTTGCTGATTCCTGTCGATGTAAGGAGAGTTTGCTGCCAGACCGAGCAGTACCCCTGTGCGTCTCGAAAGTCCTCTAGAAAGGACACAAATAATGATATCTCTGGTCTCTTGTCGGCCTATTGCCGAGTGCTCTTCGATCCAGTAGCCGATCAGTAGGAACAAGAACATCGTTTGGGAGCCGAAGCTTATGGAAAGGGGGCCGCGGTTTATCCTCGCAGACGAGAATGCCAACTACCGCTATGCCGGGCTTTTGCTGACCGAGCGTTTCCTCCCACGTCGGCGACCCACCGTTCAAGCGCACAGAAGCAGCTTGCGAGCGTTCCTAGATGTCCCTGCACGTCCCCACCAGAGATTGCTCGACGTCATCTCAAGTTCCATCCTACTGTTGACGCACGTCTCCAAACCTTGATCGTCCTGCTCGTTAGACAAGGTGGCCCTAACTTAACCTTTGTCTTGCAGTATCTTTACTGCATGAAAACTTAATATTAGACTTTAAACCCGGTCCTGTCAGACCACGCTTTTGGGACGGCATAGGATAGTCAACGATTATGCCATGAACCTATTTATTCTTTTTTAAGGTTTGTTTCACACGTCAAGAACAGGCTTGTACTTTGACATCAAGGGCCCGGATTCTCGTCAGTTAGGGGCTGGTCGTATTCGGGCTCGCTTTCCAAAAAAGCACTTTGTTTCTAGATACTTAGCTTTATTCAAAAATCCGCTCAACCTCTACGGAATAAAATCTCACCTGTGACGTCGCCATAAAGAGACCAACCAAAACAGGCAACTTGATGCGAACTTTGGTACTTTATACATACGTGCCTAACGCAGTAACCTAAAAAAGCTCACGAGGGAAAACCTCGCGTCATATCATATCCCACCCCTCCCCCCCTTAAAAGAAACAAGTCATTGCTAGAGCAAACAACAGTCACACTACGAGGACGAGTACTCAGGCAGACACGCAGGAATACCACTACAGACATCAACAACCCCAAAAATGGAAATCTACCGCCTAGCCGCTGTACAGGATGCCAATGGCAGCATCACCAAAAAGAAAATCTACAACGACGCAGTCGACTCTTCCCTTTCTTCCAAAGGCAGTCCTCTCTTCTCCTCATGGCTGCCCCTTATCCACAACAGCCTCTCTTCTCTCCTACGCTGGACGGGGACTTACCCGGCCGAGGTACAGGAGTCCCACCTCGCTTTCGTGCGTGATGTCGTGGTCCCTCGCCTCAAACCGCCTGCCGCGGCCGACAGGCTGCACTACATTGGGACGCACAATCATGGCATTTACGAAGCAAGCCTCGCCTTTGCGTCTCACAAACCAGCCAGGGTGCGTTTTACGGTGCAGCCTCTAGTAGATCCCAGCCCTGCACAGGGCGGTGACCTTTTGGGCCAGAAGGCATTGCGCAGCATACTGGACGGTATGGCGTCTGCATGCAGTGCGGACCGCACGTGGCTGGATGCCTTTGTCAACTCCGTCTTCCTCACTGCCGAAGAGGAGGTGGCCTTGGTCGGCAAGAGAGCGATGGCCGCCACCAGTGGAGATGCTGATGCTGCTGATGGGCCGCTGCGGCAGAACGGTTTTATCGCATTCGATCTCGAGGCCAATATGGGCGAGAACGAGAAGGCGGCCACCGTCATGAAGGCGTACCTGTTCCCGCAGCTCAAGGCCGTCGCAACAGGCCAGAAGACAGTCAATATGACAGATTCAATCGTGAGGCGGCTTGCTGACGGCGACAAGGAGATGTTGGCAGCCTGGGAACTGGTCAAAACGTTTCTTATCACCGACGGTGGGGAAAAGACCAACATAGATTTCCTCGCCATCGACTGCCTGGCACCCGCCAATGAGCCTCGCTTCAAGATATACACCTCCACCCGCTTCAAGTCGCTTGCCGCGGTTCGTGAAGTCTTCACTCTGGGTGGCCTTCTTCCCCGTTCCTCAGCCGACTTTCTGTCACAAATATGGCCCCAGCTCATGGACATGGAAGACGTTCCCCAGGCTGCAATGGAAGACCTGGAAAAGCCGCTCAACAATCCCGATAGCCATCACAAAGGGGTTGGGTTTGCTTTCTCAGTGGTGCCAGGCCAGGCAGTTCCTCAAATCAAGATGTACGTGCCTATGTGGCAGTTCGCGCGTGACGAGACCAGAATCGTGGAGTGCTACCAGCGTGTGCTCCAGACGCAGGGGACAATGGGGGATTACGACATTAACGCTGCTATCCAGGGCGCTTTGTGAGTATTCATATCCTTCCCTGCTCAAATTCCTCTAAGACACTTGAATTACTCCTTTAATACTAACTGCTCTTTTTTCTTCTACCTAAAAAGTGAAAAACAGAGAGAGACAAGCCTACATACTTTTGCATCTATTATCTCTTCTGCAAAGGGCTTGGAACTCACTACCTACTTAGGGCCTAGGGTTTGGGAGTAAGCTTTACCGGTTTGCTATTCTAGTAAATACCTTCAGTATAATGTTACTGCTGTTAGCCTGGGAGAGAATATTGTACTAGGCATCTGTATTAGTGTAGCTTAGGTTTTTAAGGCTAATGAATATACATAACATAGCTATATATTAAAGCTAAATTCCCCAGCGCAGTACAAGTTTTAGGAAGTATTCAAGGCTTATATCTAGTTTTAAGATAGCTAGCTTGTAATTTTACTAATAGCCTAGTTACTAGTTTAACCGTTAGTAAGTATAAAGCTGGATATCTAGGAGTTATTTATAATATAGATAAACAAGTAGGCCTAAGGCTACTAAGCTAGGAATAAAACAGTAAGAATTATATAACTAAATTACTTTAACGCCTTCTTGCTCTCTTAATTTACTTCTTATAAGACTAAGATAATGTATCTAAGACTTAATTTAGCAACCCTTTTATTGTAGTTAGTAAGAGTTTACTACTATAGACACCTTGAAGTGTAAAGTAACTGATTTTCTATTATAACGTTAATGCAGAATTATATAACGTTGCTTTTCTGTAAATAATTGATGTGTCTCTAGGGGCTTCTTTCTATATAAGCTAGAATAATAGCTATAATGTTGCTTAGCTTTGACTTGTAGTTACTTAATAAGTCAGTAAAGATGACTGTTTGCAAGACCTTGCGTAGGATATATAACTGATAAACAAAGACCGACCTAGTCCTCTTAATGAATTTAGCTAAGGGTTTACTTAGATGATTACTCTTGGACCCTTCTACTTTAATATTGTAGGCCTCTATAGAACATAATAGATATATCTTAGCTTTATCTAAAGAGACCCTCCCAAGGCATACAGGCCTAAAGTCGTTAAAAATGACCGTTCTCGTGTTTTATGTACTTATTTATTAGGTCTCATTATGTTAAATTTTGATGTGCTGACTCCCTCCGATATTAGGCAGTTCGAAGTGATTAGCATATCTTTAAGGCGTTCCCCTGATTAACGTAGACGTTAGGCATTATAATTTACATTAGCACAACTACCTTAATGACTTTAACTACTAAGTGTTGTACAAAAGGCTTCATGATTTTGTCACAACATCCGAGGTAATACTCTAGCAGAAGTTCAGATCTTATTCGTTTCTATGCTGTGTTTATTCTATCAAGAATCCTACACAATTGTCTTCTTCCTATTATTTTTTCTAAAAAAGACAGACATTTTATATGTCTGTTTCGCCATCTTTTGCCTACCATCTTGTGGTGGATATCAGTCTACATATATAATAAGCAGCCTATATTTAAGAAATATATATAAATACTTACTACCTGCTGGCCTGTTTAAAAGACACAAGGACGTCCTTGAAAATAAGGTTAAATAAACATGCTAAGGGGCTCTGAAAGATACAAGATTTGAGACTTGGGTTTGTAGGGGGAAAAGGTATGTATTACTTGCTGCGGCGCTGGAAAAACAATTCTATTGTCTGAAATCATTAGATACCTTGATGATACGCTTGGAAATCGGAAATTCATTGCCATTATCTGACTCTATTTATACTACAACAGCAGGGAGATACAAGACCACTAACGCCTACTTGAGTCCTTTCTAAATCCATTGCTTCTTAAGCCCTATTTGGCTCTAGACAAGGTGAAATTGACATCTAAGAAGCGTAGAAGCGCAGGAGCCTAGCCTCAGGTTGAAGAACTTAGCGTTTTACTTAATCAGGTTCTAAGTACATTCCCAAGAAAGTACGTTATAATCAAAATTCCTGACGAAAGTGACTTGTACCACCAGAAAACACTATTTCCGAACTTGCTTATGGTTTAGAATCATTATTCACTGGAGTTTCTTGCCACTTCTAGGTTACCGTCCGAGATTTAACAGCTTTTTGCTAAGTCAACCTACCCACTTTTCAGCACCCCCCACATTTTAGCATACTAAAAATGCCACCTAGCCACCCTATTAATAACTATATCTATAACTTTAAACTACTATCACTTTTTTTAACCTTTATTAAATTACTTTATTTTTTTAGGATACTTTCTTTATATATTAATAGTTTAGTATACTAAAAATAAGATTAATTAAGTAATTAACACTATTAAAAATAGCTATAGTGTTATCTAGGTAGCTTCTATCTATAGTATCCTATAAATAACCCTTTAGTATTAACTAAGAGGTACCTAACTAAGGAAAGTAGTATTTAAAGACCTCTAGAGGCTTTTAACTAGCTAAGAGGCTAGCCTAGCTAGTTAGGTAACTACCTAAGTAGACCTTAGGCACCTACTAACTTATTAATAACTAAAGGACTTTGCCTATTATATCCTCTAAGCTATAGGGGATACTTAACCTCTAGGCTAAAGGTAAGTAAATAGCTTTATTTAAAGGAACCTATCTATTAAGGTCTAGAGAAGTTAATCTATTAATTTAAGGTATATTAATAAAGTATTTACTAAGGTTATTAAAGACTAGTTTAAATATCTTACTATACCTTATATTTAAGCTATTAAACTAGCTAATAAATATAATATAAATAAAACTAGTATCTTTAAAGGTAAAAGTAATAATAGGCTAGTGCTAAGTAAAGCTTTAATAAAGATAGTAAAAAAAAAATAGCCTAAATTATAAGCCTAAGTATTTATTATTAAGTATATATTTACTAAAGGTATTATTATTTATTCTTTAGTTATATATAAAGGTAAAATAGTCTAGTAGTAGTAGTTTTCTCTAGATCTAGGCCTATATAATAAATAAAAGTTTATAATAATAAAGAATAAATAGACTACTAATATTACTATTATTAAATAGCTATAAAGAGTCTTTTTTCTTTAGACTAAGCCTTTTTAGCTTAACTAGGCTAGACTTTTTATCTTAAATAAGTATAAAAGCTATATAATAATAGATTTTATATAGTTATACTATACTAATAATATTTATTTTTTATTTTTATTACTATATACTTTTTATATTCTCTAGTTACTTAACTAGTTAGTCTTTAGCCTTATTAAGGTAGTATATTAAAAAAAGCTTAGATATTTTAGTTAGTAAATTAACTTTACTATTATAAATAAAAAAAACTTTTTTTTTTATTATTAAAAGGCTTACCTAGCTAGTCTAACTATTAGTAATATTAAGAGTAGCTAGAAATACACTAGGTTATAGCCTATTAGTACTATAAAGCTACTTATAAATAGGCTACTAGTCTAAAAAACAATATTATTAATAATAACACTATTAATACTACTTAAAGTAGCTACTAAAGATACTTATATAGCCTAGGATGCCTATAATATAGAGGGCTAAGTATTAGCCTTATCTATAGTAAAGTAGTCTACACTAAAGAAAGTAAAAGACCTTAGGGACTAACTATAGCTCTTTAGCTAGCTAAAATAAAGTATTACTATATAACGCTAACTATTTAAAAAGGTTAAAAAAGGCTTCTAAGAATAGTTCTATATACTAGTTACTACCTAGTAAAAAATTAGCCTTCTAAAAGCCTAAGTTACTAATAGTATACCTAGGAAATAAAAGGCTATTTATATAGATCTTAATATAAAGTTTATAATAATTAAAGAAGTATAGTAATTATAGTAGGAGGCTAGTAAAGTTAAAAGTAATATAGATAAATCTAGTGTATCTAAATTACCTAGTAAGGCTAAAAGCTATATTATTATAGTATTAAGAGGTTATTAATAGTTAATTAAATAAAGTAGTATTAGTTATAATAGCTTTATTTTTAGTATACTGAAATATAGGGGGTGCTAAAAAGTGGGTGGGTTGACTTAGAGCTCCTAGTATAAAGTTCTGAGCCTATAAGGATGACATTGATTCCTGTATCTAGGAAGCTAGAAAAATAATACTACAACTTTCGGTCTTTTAAGGCCCACTACTTAAGAATGTTAGGTGTACTATTGCTGATGCTACATATAGAAGGTAAGTTTTCTGTCGCAGAGCCGTACGGCGGGATGCGCACCATATTGCCGCACGACACCGCCTTCCGGAACGACTTCGCTTGGCGATACCCACTTCGCTCCGTGAGCCTAGACACAAAGCAGTATCTAGGAGCGACCTTTATTCTAGTAGGATATAGAAATGACAAGCCACTTTCAGGTCTATGAATTGCCCCCTAACAAGACCTCCTTCGTAAAGTTTTCATCATTATCTATACTGCTACTTTTTGGTGGCACCGTTAGTGAATGTGGATATTCGCGTGCTTGCAGGGTAGCGTTATCTATCTTATGACAACGATAGCTGCTTAATAATATTAAAACATGTGTCTCAGCGACCTTCTCCAGCTGGATAGGAGTTAGTCATACGGTAAGGGACGGGAATGGGTCCCTTCGGATGTAAGGGTGGGTCTCAACATGGGTGATATAAACCACTGCCTACCCAGTACTTCCCGCGCGAGTTTTTGTCGTCTTCCAACTGGAAATCCCGTCCTGTCTACGGATACTTCGAGAGTTATTCAGTCAAAACAGTCAAAATGACCAACGATTCTTTCCGGGTAATAATTATCGGGGGCGGCCCTAGCGGCATTACAGCTGCGTACGCCCTCTACCATGCCGGAATCGACTTTGTTCTTCTCGAGCGCAGAAACGACGTTGCCGAGGATCAAGGAGCAAGCTTGGTTCTAAGCCCCTCAAGTTTACGCGTATTTCATCAATTCGGTATCCTCGACCAGCTCATGGACATCGGGGGCAAGGTCAAAGTGAACAAGGCTTTTACAGTTGACGGCCAACGTTTTATGCATGCCAATGCGTATGGAATCCTAAAAGAACAGTGAGTTGACCTACCTCACATCTAAAACCTGACGGCATTACACATTTGCTGACAAATGCCGTGCTTCATCTAGCCACGGCATAGAGCCCTTGGCGTTCCACAGGGCCCACCTTGTCCAGGCACTGTACGACAACCTTCCCGAGGCTGCAAAGCTACGCTACATCACAGGGAAGAAGCTCGCCAACATTGCATCCACAGAAACTGGTGTAACAGTGACCTGTGTTGATGGCTCATCCTACAGAGGCTCCATTGTAATAGGCGCTGATGGTGTGCACTCAATGGTCCGACAAGAAATGCGCCGCCTCGCAGTTAAGAGCAATCCGTCTTACGAGACAACGTGGGACTCGCTTAAGCCGTACAATACGAATTACGTCTGTGTATGGGCCTCATTTCCTCGCCCTTCCGAGCCGGGACTAAGTTATGAGACACATAGCACCGATAGGTCCATAATGTACATCACAGGCAAAGAGCGTGGCTGGATTTTCCTCTACAAAAAGCTGACCAGCTCGACTACGGATCGGATTGCTCTGAGCAGCGATGAAGTCAACGACTTTGCAAAAGAATTCATAGACTGGCCGATCGCAGAGAATTTGAAGGTCAAGGACGTGTGGGAAGAACGCTATAGTGCCGGTGGTGCGGGCCTTGAGGAGGGTGTCTGCGGGAATTGGAGCTGGAACGGTAGGGTTGTCCTTGTTGCCGATGCAGCGCACAAGTTCACACCCAACGCAGGCCTTGGATTCAACAATGGTATTCAAGACGTTGTCGCTCTTTGCAATAAGCTTCATAGATTCGTTTCGTCCTCCAGCAGAAACCCGTCAGACTTTGCGACGCTGGAACGCCGGCTGAAGGAGTACCAAAACGAGAGACTGGAGACACTGATGTCGGATCAGGACCACTCTGCTCTTGTGACCAGGATGCATGCCTGGTCCTCAACGTGGATGTGGATCATGGCAAGGTACGTTATGTCGTGGAGCTTCGTGCAAAAGCTGTTCATTACATACGTTCTTTCACCCAAGATCCAAAGAGTGGGAGTAATCGACTTCCTACCAACCTCGGAACCATTCGAAGGGACATTCAAGTGGCTGCATCCGTTGTCCCCGAACGTCCCAAATGATTCAGCTATGTAGAAATATACCATCTTTCCTGCGCCGATATTTCGATTTCGCCTTCATTAGTCCCAGTGTTCTCGCCTTTTGTTTACTATTGCTTTACGCTGTTAATGTCAGCTGAATGTGCATAATAATCCCGGATTTACTTTTGCGGCCCTCCATTTACATTTAACAGTATCTTCGCCCTTCTTTCACAACACCACCGAATCTGAAATTGTGTAATGTTCCTTCTTAAATCCGTGTCTAAGACTGGCCGATGATAGAGTAGTTCCTGGTAGAATCAAGCTTCCTGATGGTAACATTAGTTTTCAGGACATCATCGCCTATTCCCGGTTCTATAATCGTAATGCGGCCAAGATCAATAAAACTCAAACTAGTCTTCGAGTGTGGCAAATATTAGAAAAACCCCTCTAACGGTTGGATGGACGATAGGTGCTAATTGTTTAAACTGAACCCAGAAAAGAATCGACTTTGCCGCTGTCAGGGAGATGCTGGCAGCGATAAATCAATACAATTCAACGCTCGTTTCCACACTCAGAACAGGGCATCCGCTAAAAAGGAAACTTGAAATTAACCATACGCTTATTCAAGGTGGCTGCGTCTTATCCTTGCGTCACGGAAGTTGTCACCTGATCTTCAAAAAGTCACTCTCACCCACCCAAAGCCCGCTTACTCTACAATGCATGGAACGCATCAATCCAGAGCAGTCAAGTTAACCTTACGATGACCGAAGAACTAGATAAGGAGATTGCACCAGCACTCTCAGTGCTTCGTTTTCCACCCGATGGTCTCTTTGACCGGCTTGATGCCTGCTCGCCCAAGGACGGCGCCCAGAGGGTCCCCGGGAGAGTATCGACTCGCTCTGCGGATGAAATCATTATTCGCCTAGTCACCTCGGATCGCTGTCGCACAGCTCTCGACTGCCTCAACTTATCGATGACGCTTGAGCTTTTCTTCTTACCCTTTGATAAGCGCATGGCCTCCGAATGTGAGTTTCGCGTATTCTGCCGGACCGAAGACTTCAGGGTCATGGGCATCAACCAGTATTGCTGGCATAAACCATGGCGCTATATTTGTCTACCAGGGGATTGCCAGGACAGAATCATCGAGAAGGTCAGCTTGGAGGCACGGAAACTCAGGGTACACATCCTAGCAGATTTAAAGGGCAACGACAAAATAGACATGTTATTAATGCGGCAGGGTGTGTAATTTGATCTCTTGTACAATGAACAAGCCAATGGTAAAATGTGTTTGTAATCCATTCCTGTAAAGGACTGTTCTAGAGATAGATTTCTACCACTGGTTTGCATAAACAGCTCTACAATGTTTTGGGAAGGTTTAACGCATCAGTTTATAGAAGAGGACCCTCGCATTGGAATTTGTTGTTATCCCCTTACTCCGACCGGACAAGCATTGGAATACATTAACAAACTAATGCCTGCATTCTAATATTAACTATACTTGATGATGCTGCATTTGGTAGCAGCAGCAATGGTGACTGAATCAGTGCCAATAATGCCGACAACGTGAAACAAGGAAAGGTGGCGAGCTGGAGGGGATAAATATCCCAGCCAAGGCGAGAGTCGAGACCACGTGGATATCCAGGGTCGCACCTATTAGAGGGGGTGGCACATCCTTTACATCAGTTATGCTTAGAAGAGTCTCGGCTGAAGCCACGAATCGTTTACAGACTGGCTTCGCCCAACTTTCCAAACCTATCTGGGTACCAATGCTTCGTTATAGAGCATGGTTTGGTTTGAATTCGGAATATTAATACTAAATGGCATAAAACACAAGCCGTTGGCCCATCTCGGCGTGCTTAAATGGCGCAGGTAGATTCGACATGCATTAGACCAACTGTGGTTAGCGCACTTGTCTTCGGACACCAAACATTGTGAAGGGGTGGTTCGCTTATGGGGTGTAGCAAACATTGCTGTTAATATTGAGCAGCTGAGCAGCTAAGCAACCAGGTATTATAAGACTGAACCTTTACTCAGAGAACTTGAGCTCGAGATTGAAAAACAAATTATTCCATCTTTCCAAACGCTTGTCAGTTGAATTCCTTCTGTTCTTTACCAAGCTTGGTCACCACATAATAATGACTACGCACACAGAAAATATCAACCTCGAGGCTGGCCATCACAACGAATCAGGTGATTCGTCGGCTCCATCCCTCCACCCGACGGACAAGGGCTTGGCTCCTTGGCTATTTGTATTTGCCTCATTCGTTGCCGAGGCTATCCTCTGGGGTATGTTGCACACGGCGTATCCAGCCAATGATTCGACATTGACAAACTATGCAGGGTTTCCGCTATCCTATGGTGTCTTCCAAGACTATTACTCAACCCACCCTGTCCTTAAACATGACTCCAACATCGCTGTCATTGGCACCGTCGCTACCGGGGTCTACTATCTGGGTGGGCCGCTGGCAACACCGATTGTTGCGCGTTTCCAAGCCTGGCAACGACACATGATTATCATCGGCTGGATTGGTTGCGTGCTGTCGCTCGTGATCGCCTCCTTCACTACTTCTGTGCCGGGACTGATTGCAACCCAGGGGTTTCTCTACGGGTTTTCCTTCCTTTTTGTCAATTACCCGCTTCTGCGGATGCTCAACGAGTGGTTTGTAGTTCGAAGAGGATTGGCATACGGCATTATGTCAACAGGCGCAGGTTGCAGCGGAGTTGCTCTTCCCTTCCTTCTGGAGTCACTCCTGTCAAAATATGGTTACCGGACCACGCTGCAAGTGATGGCAGTGACGCAGTTCATCACCCTTGTGCCCATGATCCCTCTTCTCAAAGGACGACTACCAGCCTCCGGGCGGGGCGTCCTACAGAAAGGGGACTTCGGCTTCTTCAAAGAGCCACTATTTTACTGCTTCGCCGTGGCAAACTTCCTCGAAGCAATGGGATATTATATCCCATCGCTCTTTCTACCAACATATGCAACAACCTTGGGCTTATCTGGAACTGTGGGGGCACTGGTCCTCGCCCTTAACAACTTGGCTACAATATTTGGCCAACTCGCTTTCGGTTACATAACAGATCGCGTCAACAACGTCTTCATGCTTGTATTTGTATCTTCATTTGTCGCTTCAGTTTCTACCTTCGCCATTTGGGGATTTGCGACGTCTCTCGCGCCGCTTCTTGCGTTCTCACTGCTGTTCGGCCTTGCGACGGGCGGGTTCCCGTGCCTATGGAACAAGTTTGGGTCCGCTCTCTCACAGGACCCTGGACATGTTTACAGCTTCATGGCATTTGGAAAGGGCGTGGGTAACATATTATCTGGACCAATCTCCACAACACTGGCGGGGGGCCCTTTTGAGGCCGGCTATGGTCTGGGCCGCTTCGCGCCGCTGATCCTGTACACTGGCTCGATGATGCTGGGCTCGTCATTGGGGTTTTTAGGTTTTCCGCTGATGCGAAAAGCTAATAAACCCTGAGTGTTTCCTCGGATTCATGCACCGCTATGATTGTCACCAACTGATAAAGCCAATTCAAATAATAGTCCTCGTCTCCAACTCGTGAGAAGGACAACGTTATCAAGTTCTCTCCCTCTTATAATATGTTCCTTCCATGCTCTGTCACAAGTTGTGCAACATGATCTTATCAGACAATGTTGACAGGACTTGAACTTTGGAGGAGACCATAAAGTAATGTGTCACCCTTACTTCATTGTTGATTTACAAGGGGTAGCGATCTAGACCAGCCGCAGCCGACGCAACTACCACTCTACTGAGCACCTTTACACAAACTTTACACTGCGCTACTATTAATGCGGCTGGATCATTTCGGAACGAGAAATATCATTACGCCGAATAAGCTAGGCGGATTATAGGTTTTATACTAGTGAGGGTAAAAGGGAAATTATGATTATTATAATAGCTGGGGTATTAAAGTAAGTCGAAGTAGTAATGAATAGGTGAGGTGCCCTAGTAAGTTTTTAATTATGAGCAAGGAAGAACAAAATCCATCTCAGGTTGCGTAAGGGTGAGTTATTATCCACTGCCCAGGTTTTGAATCGGAGGTAAGATCCGGTTCAGCGACAGCTAGCGGTGCCCGGTGTCGACTGACAAGAGAACGACATAAAGACGCTTGGCAGCCTCTTGTCCGCTTAGGGTACAACTCTACCGCTGTCAATTGATCAGTGCTTTTTTTTTATAAATTAACAAGGCAACACTGGAAGAGAGCTCGCCTGCCCATCATGACGCTCTTCTCCCGGCCCAGGACCGTTGACCAGTCAGTCCAGAGCACCTACCCACTGGTTGAGTGCCTGGCTGGTTGGATTACTTCAAGGGCGACCACCGTATCTGCTCTTCGGGCGGGTCTTACTATTATTAATATCGATGGATGATTAGGACAGCAAATTCGATTGTGCCCTCGCACACCGCAATGTGTCGGAACTTCCCCTTGCTTTGCATCAATTCGCCCAAAGCATTATTGAGGCTCCGAAGCGGGCCTTGGTTTCCAACTGGATGATTGTCTATACAACCACAAGTTTCGAGCTGGTGGTCAGCATTGCGCCTGAGTTGCGGTTTGACGGCAGTTCCCCGCATTCTTATGGAAGTGGGTGTGATAACTCCTTATTCTCGATTGGCTTCTGGAGGCAACCCGATGGCGAGGCGCTGCTAAGAACATGGTGACTGGACATTTGTCGTCCAGCTATTAATGCAATGCTGTCACCGGTCATGCAGTGCAACCCAGCACCTTTAGATTTGGGCACTCCTCCTACGAATCCATTCTTTGGGCTCCAAAGGCACATAATGGTTGCCTCATCGTAGCGAAAGAGCACATATGTGCCCAGAACGAGGCTACAGAATACTACAGCTGCACCTCACTGCAGGAAGTGGCGCCTTCCAAGCCTGCAAGCTGCTTCTTACAGTGAGCACATTGGTTGCAGAAGACGTTGACCCCCCTTCACTGCGGCGCACTTTCGCCTGACTTTTCCACGATTGGCCGATTGTCAGATCAGTACAACTTCGTGGAAAGATGGTGTGCGCGATCAGGCTGTGTCTAGCCGTCATGGCAATAAAGTCTCGGAGGCCACAAGCACCGCGCCAAAGCACAAATACTCCAGCCCGCCCTGTCTGTTTTCTTAAACCAGACGTCACAATCTTCTATTCCCTTGCCAATATTCAACAACCATTCAAAATGTCAAGCACGGAAACTGATTCACAGACTCCTTCCCCTGGCCCTATGGAGGAGCTCAGAGGGTCTTTGAAAAAGTCAGTGGTCAACGTTGTCGCTCTATCAATAACTTGTGTTATCACGCTAACAGCATAAATAGCCTGTATGAAAATGCAGAATACTCGGACCTGACAATTGCCAGTCGACATGCCGAGTACCGAGTTCACAAAGCCATTGTGTGCCCCAGATCCGATTATTTTGCTGCAAAGTGTCGGGAGTTGGCGTCTGAAGTTGGTCATAGTCTCTTCGTTTCCGGAGTTGAGCATCTAGCTAACTGCAGACTTAAAGGCTGCCATAGAGGGCACCCTCAGCTTGCCTGACGATGATCCCCAGGCTGTCGGGATGGTCATTCGGTATTTCTATCACTTAGATTATCCATCTGCGTCTCAGCAAAAGGCCCCCTTGCTCAATGGGTACGCGCAGGTGAATGGCCACAGCAATGGCTATGACGATGACTTTAATGGATCTATCAAGTCGGATGACCAGGTCCTTGAGAAAGACATCAAGTCTGGAGAGCACAGCGAGCCTCTTGATGACTTTCTTCCACCGCAGCCTCAGCGACTCAGCAAGAAGCAGAAGAAGCGTGCCAAGGCCAATGCCAAGCAAGACTCTGGAATCGTTGCGTCTCCTGATCCCAACGGCGAGACCTTGTCGTCGCCAATCACCCAAGAGCCGTCTACGCCAAACCAGGCCCAAGAAAACCACAGCGAAGGCGGAGGCGCCGTTCTAATTGCAAAGCCACCACCACCTGGTCACCCGGCAGCGAATGGCATTGATATCGGCTCTACCAACGACACTCTCGTTTTGCATGCAAATGTGTATGCGCTGTCGAGAAAGTATGGCATCTCTGGCCTTCGATCGCTCGCGTTCGACAAATTTAGGACAGAAGCCGACAACCAGTGGGACACGGAGGAGTTTCTTCACGCAGCTGAGAAGGTATACACATCCTGCTCGGATGGCGACGATGATCGCGATATCAAGGACGTTGTTGTTGGGATAATATGCCGTCACGGCGAGTTGATGGACAAGGTTGAGACGCAGAAGGTAATGCGCACTCTGCCGAGTGACTTGATGTATGACATTCTCCTGAAAGTCAGACAGCAAGGAGGGTTTATTAGATGATGTCGTTGGTTGAGGCTTCATTTGGGAATTTTATGATCTTAATGCGCAACGATAGCCATGCTTATGAACGGGTTCATGTGTTCGGAGAGAAAGGAGCTAAACAGAGGCACATGGAATTGTTCGGGACAGAGCACGGTTTGTGATTCTCAACTCTGATAGGACAGAGGATTCTTTCCACCGCTGCACAGCTTCAAGCTCTCGATAGGTATCATTACGTTAGGCTTTTGCTACCCTCTCCTTAAGCTTTTGTATCCAATAGCCTATACCAGCAACGTCTTTTGTATGGTCGACCTTACCCATATCCGGACTTCCCGCGATGTTCCATTTTCAACATCCTTCCTGTATTCAGAAGTACTACCGCTAATTATGCATCGCTCCCGCTTTTGTTATAGTCAAACCCTTCACTTGGTGTTTCTTCCCTTGAGGTAACTGAGATCTCAGTGGTGACTGTGATGGTGTTGTCATTTGTTGATTGTGATGGTGAACTCGGATACCTGGAGCGGGTACTGATGATGCTGGCTAGGATGCGACTAGCTTCGGTCCGAGCTGGAATAGTTGGTGTCTTAATATTTTCATCTAAAGCGATACGAGATCGCCTTCTGTAATTCCAATCAATCGGCGCACCGCCTCCAATAGTTAGTGGCAGGTCATCTTCCAGTCGGGATTTTCTTGCACGTCGTGTGATGCCTCCGGCATACGACTCCTCCACGTCGAGGTTCTGTACCTCACGTGTCTTCAAGTACTGTTCGCGGTCCTGTTCCACGTGGCCGCCGAACGCAAATAATCTTCCAAACATGCCGGGGAAAAGTCTGTGCAGCATCAGACGAATGGATGGAAGACTTGTCACGGCGATGCTTGTTGACACTTTGATGCCCGTCTAAATCATAAGGTCTACGTAGTCCTATGTTATGTTAACCGAGTCTGTGATGAACCGCAGCGTCTTGTTATATAAGAGAAAAGTAGTTGTCCTATTAAGAAACTATATATAAACTAGAGAAGCAGTAGAAATACCTTTTTTATATAGTCTATACAGGTGGTACACTATATCCTGTGGTAGCACTGCTGGCACTAGCCACACGAAGCTATTCCAGCTTCACAACAGAGTCTCTGTATATAATATTGTAACGAAGACGTATGGAACTAGATATGACGTTCATGATGCACAGGCTGAACATTGATATGATGTAAAACTTGCGCCGCGGTGTTGACTTGATCTTGACAACCAACGGCAAAGGCATAATCAAGATGGTTGTATCGAACGCGATGCCGATGGCGCTTGAGCTCCAAGATAGAAGGTTGAGATTCAGGCATTTCGCCGGCCCAAAGTCCCCTTTCCAACCCTCCCAGTTGTACGATATTGGCACGCACTGAACTATTGAAAGAACTATGAATATAACGGTGCTTGTGGCGATGATGGTCAATAGCGCGTAGCATGGGCGACAAAAACGCTCGTAAGGAAAGAGTCGTACATAGAAACACAGGACCGAAGTCCTTGCGAGTCCTAAAATAAGGAGGTATAGAGATGAATCGATGTAGAAAAGCTAATTGCACGTAAGCAAAATCGCGGTGACCAGTGGCAAAGTGTTTGGACATTACTTTCAAAGCCCAGGTAAGGGTTACAGGATCGTTCCACCAAATATCGACTCCAAACACCTTGAGGAAAACTGGCACATAATAAGCCATCTTGTCAGGAACCCCCCAAAGACAGGACTTACTAGTATGCCCAACAATAAACCACCCCACGTACATAACATATGTTATAGTAATAATCCAGTCGTCCAGGCTGAAACTGCGTATGATCCACGATTTAGAGTAGATTCGTACCGCGACACACCACATGGCAAAAAGATGGATGGGCAGGAATGGCCATGCATCGTCTTTTCTGTTTCGACGCGGCTTGTCGCACACGATAAGTCAAAGTACCCACTTACCGACCACCCCCTCATTCTGACCACCCAAAAATACCTCATCCACCCCCTCTATCTACCATAACCCTCCTACTTTAAACTATCACCACTTTTACTACCTTTATCTAAATTACTTTATTTTTTATATATAACTTCTTTATACCCCTATAGTTAAATATACTAAAGACTAGGTCTAGTAGGCACTAAATACTATTATAGCTAGCGTTAGTTAGCGCTAGGTATCTTATATCTATAGTATCCCTAAGACTATATTATAGAACTATTTATTTAGTACTACCTAGACTAGGTAGTTTACCTTTTTTAACTATTAATAACTCTTTATTAGTTAAAAGGCTAAGCTAACTAGTTAAGTATAAACCTAGGTTAATCTTAGTTATCTTTTAACCTATTAATAACTAAAGAAATTTACCTAGTGTATTCTTAAGGCTATAGGTAATAATAGACTAAATAAAAAAAAGTAAGTAAATACCTTTATTAAAAAGAATCTATTTATTAAGGTCTAGAGAAGTTACTTTATTAATTTTTAATATATTAATAAGGTATTTACTAAGGTTATTAAAGAATAGTTTAAATATTTTATTATCCTTTATATTACTACTATTAAACTAGCTAATAAATATAATATAGATAAAACTAGTATTTTTAAAGGTAAAAAAAATAATAGACTAGTGCTAAGTAAAGTAAAGATAATATCTATAAAAAAAAAGTAGCCTAAATTAAAAGCCTAGGTATTTATTATTAAGTATATATTTACTAATAGTAATATTATTTATTTATTAGTTATATATAAAGGTAAAATAGTTTAGTAATAGTAGTTTTTTTTAGATTTAAACTTATATAATAAGTAGTAGTTTATAGTAATAAAAATAAATAAACTATTAATAATACTACTATTAAATAGCTATAAAAGGTCTTTATCCCTTAGACTAAGCCTTTAACCTTAATTAAGCTAGACTACTAATCCTAGATAAATATAAAAGCTATATAATAATAGACTTTATATAGTGTAATAGGGTTAAGTAGTATAGTCCTAAGAGTTATATAGCAGTTAACACAAGGGATAAAACAATAGGAAGGCTACCTACCTATTAAAAAAGGGATTCATAAACCTAAAAAGGGATTAGGGGACACATAATTATTTATATATAGTTATTATCACTAGCCTTAATACTCTATATAGATATACACTACTAGTTATTACTATACTTTTATTTATTTAAGGAAATTTACTCTTTTTATAATTACTTTATTAATTTATACTTTTATTTTAGTATCTTTATAAATTAGGTCTAAGAATTATAAGACCTATTAATTAATATATATATAATTATTATTAGACGTTATTATAGTGTAGGTAGTTTTCTTATATTTTACTATTCCTCTTTTCCTTTGTTAAGTAGCCTAGATGCCTTGCCCCTTTCTTAATAGTGCCTAGAGGTAGATCTACTTCTTTAGTATAGGTATTCTATACTAGACTATAGACAGGCTCTCTTATATAGTTATAATAAATTTATAGTTAATAAAAACATAAATATAATATATTATTAATATTTAGTAATACTTCTGCTTAATTAATAGTAGAACTAGTAAGAGATATAGTAGCTATATGCTCTTATAGACTAATTTATAGGGATAAGATAGACCCTAAAAGCCTCCCTTAAAGTAGTAAGAATATACTAAGATTTATTAAGTGTATATATATTCTTTTTTTATTTTTAACCTCTCTTTTTATTTTATATTTCCCCTTTTTAATTATAAGTATATAAAATAAATTATTTAACTTATAAGATAATTTATAGATCTAAAATACACTAATATAGATAATTAATAGTAGTCTTACTAAGCTAATAAGTAAAGTAAGGGCACTAGTTAGATAAAGCTAATAAATATTTTACCTAAGATATTAATAAAAAGAGATAGTATTTTTAAGAATAAACCTATAGAGGGTTATATAGTATAATAAATAGTAGCTATATATAGATAATATCTTATAGCTATAGTATATACTAAACAGAGGGCTAGAAGTTACCTAATTTACTAGTTTAAATATTAGTATATACTTTTATTACTAAAATATTAACTTTTTTATCTTTTTAAGAAGTCTATAAAGGACTATAACACTTATTAAATTATTTATAATAGTTAATTTATAGACCTAATTTACTATAGTTAACCTCTTAATCCCTCTAGATAAAAGTAAAGGATCTTTATTATCTAAAAGTAAAGATATAAATATCTTTAGTAAAGCTAGCTTTAGTAATATATAACTATAAGCTTTTTCTAAGAAAGATAATAATATAGGAGAAATAATAAGTATACTACTATTATAAAGACCTTCTTTTATAACCTTAATAGACTTTCTAAAGTAACCTATAACTATATAAGACTATCTATAAATAGCTTAACTCTTTAGTAAGTAACTAATAATTATTTAGATAACCTTTTTTTAGCTAGGGCACCTAAATTTAAAGGAGATAATATTTTAGACTTCCTAGAGAAGTTTAATAACCTTTTAGTCTTTATATATAAGAAGTTATTTAAGAGGATTTAAGAGGTCTATATATACTTTATCTTTAACTATTTAAAGGCAGTAAAGTTAATTACTTAGGACTAAACTTCTTAGGTAACTATAAAGGATAAATTAATAAAGGTCTTTAGATTAGTAGACCTAAAGATACTTTAGAACCCTAATAAGGAGTTATAAAACCTTATAAATAGTCCTTATATTATAAATAGTAATCTTAGTAAAATAATAACTTTTATTTTAACTATTTAAATACTATAGTATAAAGCTAAGGCCTATAGAGATATAAAGCTTACTAATATAGAGCTTATATAAATTATCTTTTATTATTTTTTATAGAGGGTAATAAGGGCTATAGCTAAGCACTTAAGCTATAAAGTTATAGATATACTATCTAAGCTATAGGTTAATATTAAAATACTTTAGTTATTTAGTCTAGAAGGTAGTTAGCTTTATAATAGCTATTAGGTAACTTAAAGACTAATATTACTACACTATAATTAAAGTCTAATAGTAAAGTCTTAATAGTTAAGACTTTATAGAGAAAGCCTACTAGTGCTATAAGCTAGAGAGTTATATCTATAGTTAAAGCCTTTACTAAAGACTTTTAAGACCTTTTAATTAATAAGGCTAGAGTATAGGTAAAGATATAGGCAGTAATTTAGTAAGCTCTTTAGCCTAATAACTCTATAACTATTAACATTAGAAATCTTAATCCTATAGCGCTAAGGTACTAACCTTAGCCTTATTCTTAGACCTATAGTAGTAGTTATAACTATAGTTAAGAAGGCTATAGTTATAGAGAAGAATATAGGTATAGCTAAGGTAATAGTAATAGTTATAACTATAGTTTTTACTAAGGCTACTAGAGTTCTTAACTTTAATACTATAATTACTTTTATATTAATAGTGCCTATTAGTTTTATAAAGTAATAAATTATATTATTACTAACTATAAATATACTTATTACTATATTACTTATAGTATTTATTACTATAAGACCCCTATTAGTATTTTAAAGAAATAAATAATCCTAAGGCTATTATAAAGCTTAGTATTATTAACAAAGGACACAACAAGAGATAGCTAAACAGTAAGACTATTTTTATTATATCCTAATGCACTCTAAGGCCTTTAAATACCTTGTTAATATAGTTTACTATATAGTATATAATATCTTCCTAGAACTAAAAGGAGAAGTCTAAGCCTATAAAGCCTACTTTACTATATAACCTTTATTAAATAAGTCTATAAATTTTAACCCTATAAAGGATATTACCTTTATAAATAACTATTTAGAGTCCTTTTATTTTTTACTATTATAGCCTAGGCTAAATATATATATACTACTAAGAAAATAAAAATACCTAGCTATAAGTAAAAGCCTTATAATATATAATAGTAGTATAAGCCTTAACTTATTAACTTACTTAACGTTTAGTTTTCTAATCCCTTAGTTACTAATTAAGTTATTAAACTTAATAATAATAAAAAGTTTAAGACCTTCCTTTACTAGAGGCTAAAGGCCTTTACCTAACTAATAATATACTAGTAGAGAGATTTATATTATAGGGTAGTTAAAACCTTATATAAAAGCTTCTTTATAAGTAAACTAATAATAAGATATTAGTCCTAGAGACCTTTCTTTAATAGGTATAGCTAAAGTATAATAATATAATCTATTAATAGGCTAAAGTAATAGTTAATAACTATAAGGCTTATCTTACTAAAGAGTCTTATAGTGTCTTTTTAGCTATAGATAAGCACCTTCTATAATACTTTAATAAAGTTAGTAACTAAGATAGCCTTATCTAAGAGTAAATATAAAGGTAAAATAAAGTAATAAGATCTTCTCTTAACGCTATAACTTTATAAACTACTACTATAGCTACCTTAAAGGATTCTTAGACCTATATTATTAACTTTAGGGTTAACTTTATTAATACTGTCTTTAAAGAGACTAATACTATAGAGTATTAATAGAAATCTATTATTATAAATTTAAGGAGGATTATAGTCTATAACTTTATTATTACCTATTAGTAGCTTATAGTTACTATATACTAATTAAATAACCTACTAATTAAAGGTATTCTTAATAGTAGTTCTATAATTAACCTTATTAGTAAATTATTTATATAAAGAATTAGCTTATAGACACTATAGTTAAGATAAACCTAGGGATTAAAGGTATTACTAACTAGACAAGGAGGATTTAATTCTTAGGTGTAATTATAATAATATTTACCTTAGGGACTACTATATCTAGATATAGGATTCTTTATTTTCTAGATAGTATATATAATAAGGATTTAGTCCTTAGTGCCTATTTATTCTTAAGACTTATATATCCTTAGAATATTCCTAAAACTAGATTATTAGTCTCTTTTAGTCTAAGAATATTAAGATTTATATTCCTTTGTTTTTTATACTAAAGGATTAACTACTTAGTTTCTAGATTTTATTA